CCACCCCAGAGCACTGATTAAATGAACAAAAACAAAAATTAACCAAGTTAAGAACCCAAGCAATGCCAGGTAAATCGTCTAGCAGCTACAGTGGCATGGAGAGGTGCTTCTCACCTGGCTGCAAGCTGCTGCAGTGACACAGGGCTGGGGTTGTCCCCTCTTCCCATGGCAGCCCACATACTGAACCCTCATCCCCAGGCCCACCCCAGAGCACTGATTAAATGAACAAAAACAAAAATTAACCAAGTTAAGAACCCAAGCAATGCCAGGTAAATCGTCTAGCATATATATAAATTAGACGTACTCAAGGCTCATTCGCACTTGTAAGTCATTTCTCTGGAGTGAAGCAACTCAGTTGTACAAAGGTACCAGCATATTCCTTGTGTGCTCTGTCTTCAAGAGGGCTCAATCAAATACTTAATGAATTTCCTAAGTTCAGTTTTACTCAGCATGGTAAGTCAACTACAGAAGTTAGTAGAACCAAAGCCTTAGGAGAACAAAATGTCTCAACAATCCCACATGATAAAACGATTAAAAAGAGTAATTTTAAAAAATATATATATTTAACTTACTGGTAAAATTCTGTTAATAAAATACAGCCAGACCCCGAGTTACGGTCGCATGTAACTCAATGGGGTCCAACTTATGAACAAACCGAATTATGACCAATTGCTTGGTCCGCAACCGGTTCATAAGTTGGAAACAGGCTGTAAGTGTATTAACAAGACTGCTGTATGGCCTCAATATTACAAATATAAATTAAATATTTTTAAAATACACATGTAAGCCTGTTATTACAAAACAAACTGACTCATTTACATTCCAAAAATCTTAACAGATTTACAAAAGCGTTTCAGATTTTGTCACCACCATTCTTGCCAAAGGTTCGGACTCAATTTTCAAATGATGAATTATACTAAACCTTTAGCTACATAAGCAGAAAGAATTCTGACGTCTTAAAAATTCCTTCCATACACACACAAAAAGTTGTATATTCAGTAACTATTTCTCCAGTAAGTTTACAATGACCAAGTTCAGAAATTTCAGTACCACCTCACCCTGTCAAGGCCTCACCACCCACACAACCTCTCTAAAATGTCCAATATGTTCATTAATATGCACAGTAAATGAACTTCTAAGCAGTACACGGATTAGTACAGGCAGTCCCTGGGTTACGTACAAGATAGGGACTGTAGGTTTGTTCTTAAGTTGAATCTGTATATAAGTCGGAACTGGCGTCAGCCGCTGCTGAAACTGATCAGTTTCAACCGCGGCTGAATCTGGATGCCAGTTCTGACTTACATACAGATTCAACTTAAGAAACCCAGGCATCCCCAAGTCAGCTGCTGCTGAAACTGATCAGCGGCTGATTCCAGGAAGCCTGGGGCAGAGCAACTCTGCCTGGGGCTTCCTGTAGTCAGCCGCTGGTCAGTTTCAGCAGCGGCTGACTTGGGGACGCCTGGGGCAGAGCAGCTGGGGTGCTGCTGGGTTGGTCC